ACTGTATTATATGTGACTTAAATCTAAGCGATGGATCCAGAAGTACACCTAAATTTTTAGCTTGATCAACAAACGGAACAATAACATTATTAATGTGTAACTCAGGCAACTGAGAAGTCACCAACTTATTACTGAATAGTAAAGCATTCGATTTTGAGGGATTCAATTGTAAGGCATGTTTATCACAGAAAATGCGCGTTTGCTCCAAATCATAGTTAACTTCAAAAATCGCCTGATGTAAATTTACGTGAGTGAATGACCGATAAATTTGAGTGTCGTCGGCATACATGTGTATATTACAAAATTTTAATTTGTTACAGAGTGCACTCGTGTAGATTAAAAAAAGCGTTGGTCCCAGGATCGATCCCTGTGGTACACCATTATTGACAGATAACGCATTTGATACATTGCCTTTAGACCGAACCCTTTGAGAGCGACGTTGTAGGTAACAAGAAAAGAAACTAATGGCGTCGTTTTCAAAACCTATATAATGCAATATACCCAGTAACATGGAATGATTAATTGTATCAAATGCTTTGGTTAGATCTAAAAGTGTCAGAACAGTGCTATTTCCAGAATCTAACGCAGATATTATGTCATCAACGACATGTAAGAGTGCAGAATTACAACTATGTGATGACCTGAAACCCGACTGAGTAACTGGCAAAATTGCATTATCAACAAGGTGTAACATGATTTGCGCATTTACTATTCGTTCTAGAATTTTCGAAATAGTTGGTAGTATACTAATCGGTCTATATTGTGTAAGTGAGGTAGGACATTTAACTTTGGGTATTGGTGTAATTAGTGCAGTTATCCATAGATCAGGAAATACATTATCAGTCAAGCAGCAATTGACAATATGAGTAATGAACGAAATAATGTAAGGACAACATAATTTTAACATTATAAGATTGATTCCGTTAATCCCAAATGAGTTACTAATTTTGGAAATATCTTCATATTTAACAAGGCGAAAACTAAATTTAGACAATGCAATTATAATGCTGAAGGGTTAGAGGATCAACTAATAAGTTAGGAACGCTATCTATAAAACATCTATTAATCTCATCTACATCAAAAGCGAAAGAATTTTCGTTGATGTTTGTTTGTTTTATATGCAACCTCCTAAGTTCTGACCACAATTGTTTTGAGTTACGCGTTTGGGCAATATATTTGAAGTAAGCTTTTTTTTCGGATCTGATTGCAATATTCGTTATATTGCGCATCTGCTTGTAATAATTCCAAGTTACCTCGGAGGGATTGCGCTTATGTTTAACTTTGGCTTGATCACGTAACTTCATTAGAAGTCTAGCATTGTCAGTCAGCCAGGGTGCAGGTCTCTTTGAAAAAGTACCAGTGCTCCAAGGGGCATGTTTATCGAAAAGATTAGTTATGCTACAACTTAAGAATTCAACTTTATCGTTGATATTATCCAATTGATATAAGCTCTCTAATCGTAAATGTTGTAGTTCTTCATAAAATGCTGCATTATCAAAGCGTTTATAGTTCCTAAACGTGCGGATGGTTGGCATGCTTTGTAAACTAGGAAATGATAGATCACAAAATATCAACTCATGGTCCGTAAAGTGTACAGTCGCTACACCAGTCTTACTAGCACAGGACTCATCACTGACAATAATTACATCAATCAAAGATGACTTGTGAATTCCGATTCTAGTGGGTTCAGTAATTAGCTGTGTAAAATTAAACGAGTCTAATAAATATTGAAAATATGATGTAGTCTTATGATCTGAATTTAAGAAGTCAATGTTGCAGTCCCCTGCACAAATAATGTTATCTGAAAATGACGAACACACAAGAATTGAATTTTCTAATTCATCAACAAATACTTTATAATCGGTAATTGGAGGTCTATATACTACACCAAAAACAGCTTTAGTTTTTCTATGGCTCACCATACACCATAACTCCTCAATCTTCCCATCAGTTTTTATTACGGTTAAATTCAATTCTTGCTTATAGTAGAAAGCTACACCACCACCTCTCGAGGGTCGATCGTTTCTCAGGAGCCTAAAATTTTGAAATTTTAACACGTCTGAGTTAGTTTCATTTGTTAACCAAGTTTCTGATATTGCTAATATATCTAAATTGTGGTCATAAATGAGTTCTTCAATTTCCAGTAACTTTGGCAAGAGTGAACGGATATTGATGTGTCCAAATTGTATAGTCTCGTGTGACATACGTTAGGTAATGTATCTGAGAATAATAGTTTAATAAAACGTACAAATTTATAATTATGAGATAATTTTATAATACAATAATAACTGAATAAAAGTGGCAACAAAAACGTAGATCCTTTTCCAAGAAATATTAAGATGTGCTCAAACATGATAACATAAAATTAAAGAAAGAACGGAGATTCCGCTAACATATACGGTACAGGCCACTTAACACTGCAATTCCATAATATGAAAATAAACAGGAAATTTACAACATTTTTAAATCATCTTGATTTCTAATGCAACGGATTTTATTGTCTTTTATGCAATATAATTTTCCATCACGGGACCAGCAGTTTTTATTTCCCATCTTCAGCTGCAAATCTCGAGACAGGGAAAGACGGTCTTTGGTCAGATCTTCTTTGATGACGATTGATGTCCCTTTGAGCAATTTTCTTTTGTTGATGATCAATTGTTTTGAGTCGTAGCCCTTGAATTTAATTATGATAGGACGATGATTTACACCCATTTTACCAAATCTATGTATGCGGTCGACCTCGCCTTTATCCATTTTAACACCTAACCTTGTTTCAAATAAGGAGATAACCTTATCCAATACAATTTCATTGTTATCTTCACGTACACCAAATATCAACACGTTGTTTCTTCGCGTATACTGCTCCAGATTATCAAGCTTACAGCGTAAGTCACTGGTTTCTTCACATACTTTTTCGGTGACTTTGTCTTCAATGTACGCTTGTAGACTAGTAAGTATTTTTTGAGAGATGCTATCCACCAGCTTACCAAAAAAGTTCGAGTCCTCAAACTGAGCCTTAACGGCAGCTGCTACTGCATTGTTAATTTCACTAACTTGAGTTTGCTCACGTGTTTGCGGCATAATGTTATCGAAGACGTAGATAGCTAGGTAAGGATACGTAACTATTATGGTATGTAAACGGAAATCCCAGGTATACGACACCAGCGAGCACACCAAAACACGTCTACTCCGCACGACAGATCATTACGAATGATATAACGAAGTGAGCTCCGTTCTCGGATCACAAAACCTGCAAACAAAAGAAAACCTCCCAAGCCGCAGAGGTCGGTACACAAGTAATTGGCTAATGCCTGAATGGCCTCGCTTTACTCGTAGTAAGCTTCCATCATAGGTACGGAACTTAATCGGCCAACCGAACTCCAATAGCCGCTCGTTATCATCTGTTAGAAAATATGTCAAAGGTCAAAGGCACTCGCAGGCAATGGTGAGCTTAATCCAAGATTATCAACTCCAAACTCGTACATCGACAGAATAGGTAAAGCGTCTCCGCACTTAAACTGGTCAATTAAAATTAGATTGTGAACTAACACTTGAACCCTACAATTAAAACCCTAAAAGAAAATCAAAGGTAACCCCTCATTCTGGATAAACTAAATAAGAGGGTTAATTTAATATAGATGAATGCAATAATCGTCGATGGAAATTGTAATGTGACAAATATCAGCCAAAATCTAAAGAAAAGGCACACTTCAATTAAATGAAATGCAAAGGACGTACTTACGATAAAGAAGAAAATCGCAATTATATCCTTTCCTATTGAAATTTTTAGACGAATCCGTTTCCTAATTATTTCAGAATCCCCAATTCAATGAAACCAATTGCCAGATATTAATAAAATATGGATGATGGCAATTAAAATTCCATGCGTTGTCAACTAACGCCTTAGCCATTGATTTCATTAATCAGTGTTACCCAATACGAGGATATTTTAACAAAATATACCGTGAACAATAATAATGCTTCTAGTGGAGAAAATAAACCGTTACACAACTTGGGAAATTGTGGTAACCATCAAAATGATTAAATTTAAAGCTGCCGTTACAACCAATAGTAGAAGTAAATGAAATTCTATTCTTACCTCAGGAACAGAACATATCCATTATCTTGTTCCTGTTCAAAATATTGAATTAAAAAGGCAACGAGTTCCTTCGCTTTACTATTCAAACGCATTTCGGCGAACTGAAGTGTCAAACGCAGAATACGGCCTTCTCAGGGCCGAATGCACAAACAATAAATAATCAGGCCGTTAGTTAATCGGTATGATTAAATTAAACCTTTGATTAAATTAGATTGGTATGCACAAAACAAAAACACTCCTTGATTAACTAACCAAGGTGATTAAGCATTGATTAAATATTTAGTAAGAATTGGCGCCGGCAACGTTGTACTTTTATGGAAATGTGTGATTTTTTTTACAAAGCCTACTTTAGTGGAACGCTTTTCTTTTTTGTTATCTGTCATCTAATAATCAATTTATATTATTGGGTTAATAATGGAAAAGAAGATACGGGGAAAAAACTTTACCGAAGTGGAAAGAGAACATTTACTCCAAATAATTGAATCGTAAGCAAATTTACATTGTTATTATACTCGTAGTAACTTAGTGATTGTCCTGAATTCGATAAAAGTTCCGGTTGAATTTTGAGTTGTTATAGGTATCATTTTAGCTGCCACAATAATTACAATGATAAAGTTTCTCCGAATACTCATGTTTTTCCAATTTAGTAAGAAACATATACTAGAATCGAGAGTGACGAGCGCCCAGATCCTTATGCAGAAACAGCAAGCTTGGAAGTGCGTTACAGAAGATTTTAACTCCGAATGTATCAGCAAAAGAACCACCAAGCAATTAAAGCATTTTTATGATAACATAAAGCGGAATGCGAGAAAAGCGGAGGCATCGAGTAATGTAAGTAATATACGTCGTTTGTGTTTATAAACATAGCTATTATCGGTACGATTCTAGAAAGAAAGGTACCTACCGAGAGCAATTAAAAAAAGCTTTCGATGGAGAAATGTCACAAGACGATATAGAAAAGCTTCCAGAAGAAGCTTTATATGCCGCAAAATGTGAAAAGGTAATTTAATCATGAAAGGATTCCGTCATTTTTAATTGTCTGTTTTATTCTTATTTCCAAGGAAGGAAGAAAGAAAACTGGAGGAGGAAGCTGCGAAAGCACCACCAACGACTCAATGAGTCTGGTGCTATCGATAATGGGTGATACGGTAAAGCCTTTACCAAATCCATTTGATAGTGCCAGCTCTTATCACGGTACAAATCAAAGTTTGCATTTACTTAATAAAAACATTGTTTTAAAGATGACGAGGCAATATTGCTATTGAACCTTCTCCCCCAGCAATCATCCCTGAAGTGGTGGACCAAAGTATACCATCCTGTTCCTTTTCTTCCATAGCTGATCGCCAACCTGCGCCAAAAGGTGGAATAATTGCTGCAAAACGGCGACCTAAAACTAAGATGTCCATTCAACAAATTAAAAAAAATTACTACCTTCAAAAGTTGAAGAATGCTAGGCTGGAATACAGCACTCTCCTAATGGAGAAAAATTTTAAAAAACGCATTTTCATGAATCAATTAAGTAAATGAACATATTTTCTATTCAAATAAAATGGTGTTGATAATATTGACTGTATTTTTATACATTGGTTGGTCATGGTCATGCTAATCCCCGTAAATATAATAACTCTGATCTGTCTGATGGCATCGTCGTTACTAAAAATGTACTTAGGTACCTACTCATAGTTAAATAAAGTCTTTGAAGAAACACACTTGCTGAGAATGCAGGGTCGAAACACTTTAAGAATTACAAAAGAAAAGGTGCATAGTTAAACGAAAGAATTGAAATATTCATAAACAAAACCACATAATAAAATGTTATTTTTCTGCAAGCTCTTTTGGGATTGCCTCCTATTAATGTCAGTACCTATATACCTGACGAAGTCGAAAATCAGCAAAAAAGTATTTCGCTGAAGTTTAAGATGACTTCGCAGTTAGGTGCTGGATTCAGCTGTTTAACTTCTGTGTTCCTTTTTTAAGGAAGTAAATGAACAAATAAACGGACAGAACAAATTTATTAACTGAAAGTAGTATTAACTAGAGCAGTTCTAATGGATGTATTTTCATTCCGGTAACCTTCTGCGATCGGTATGTCTTCAGCTCTGCCTTGATCTTCAAAAAATTCGTTTAAATGGTCATTTGAATCAATGGCAATATTGTGTAAGACCGCGCATGCAACTATTATCATCAAACATACGTGAACAGTATTTCTCAAGCCTAAAAAGAGACAAGGAAACCTTCTTTTTAACACACCGAATGTTCTTTCGATCGTATTCCTTGTTGCCACATGTGACCTGTTGTATCGTTCTTCTGCGGGCGTTCGGGGATTCAAGAAAGGGGTTAAGAGATATTTCTTACAAGCATATCCAGAGTCCCCCAATAAATAAGTTCCTGCTCCGTATTGGTCAGCTTCAAATTCCGGGATTAATGGACTATCATTGAAAATAGTACTGTCATGAACAGATCCTGGCCATCTACTTATTATGTGCCTGATTTTTAATGTGGCATCACATATGGCTTGCACATTAATAGAAAAGAAGCCTTTTCTATTTCTATATAGCTCAGCATTATTTCCACCAGGAGACTGTATCTTGATGTGTGTGCAATCTATAGCTCCAATCACTTTAGGAAACCCTCTGATTCTGTAAAAGCCTCTACAGACTTGTAAAATGTCGTCTTGGTTCTTGGGCATGTTTATAAAATTTGGCCTTTGACGAGCAAGATGTCTGGTGACTCTATTTATCACACGACAGGCAGTACTCTGATTTACGTTGATATGATCTCCAATAACTCTTTGATATGTTCCAGTTGCATAGAACCGAAGAGTTATTAGAAGCTGGGTTAGGCCATCAATTCTTTTGTTCCTCTTGGTTTTCGGTTCTATTAAATGTCCAAACATATGAAGCAAATTTTGTACTATTGGCTTCGAAAACCTGTACCTCATTTTGAAATCGATATGATCGTATATTTGAAAAGGATTGTTTCTATCCCTTATAAATCTTATTCTCCTGGCGGGGGCTTCCTCTTCATCGGAGGACGAAGAAAAAGAGGAGAGTGAAATGTCCAACATGAAAATGGCTAAATAAACAGTAAGGAATTATGTTATTTATAAGTAAAAAGTAATTTTTCACTTACATATTATTTCCAAATTTATTTATGAAAAAGTAAGTACCTATTAAAAAATGAACTGAACACAAACTGAGAACTTTAACACTAATTAACAATAAGGAACATCTCGAATAACTATTAGAATAGGTCAAATTATTCTATAAAAATACGTTCCACAAGATCAAATTGAACATTATCAACGAACTGTCAGTTTAATCAGTCAATGAGCACCGGTTAAATTTTGCCGTGATTAAAGCCGACTTGACGGCGTCGTTAATGCTAATTCTTTTTTGTGCATAGGAATTTTAGCTTAATCGATGTTTAACAGTTCCGTTAAATTAACTAATTTAATCAAAGCAAATGTCATTTTTTAATCGAAACAAATGAGTTAACAGCGCCGTTAAGCTTTGATTAACTTTTGTGCATTCGGCCCTCAGAATAGAAACAGCAATGTTAAAAATTTGTATGCATGTATGGTTGTTGGGTATGGCAACACTGCATAGTTTTTCTAGGGAGGACACTACCTGTATGTTACGAAGGATGATAATTACACGTTTATGTGGGCACTTCGTTTTACTTAATTCACCTATTACATCTACAATTACAACAGTGGCGACGAGGTCAAGGAGACAAAAGTTGTCCAAGAAGATAAGTATATTAGATTAGATACGTGCTAAAAGTTATACGTTGATTTTTCCATACATAACCTTAAAAACGTACACGTGTTAATATGGAAGGGCTACACATTGCACCATTTAATTGTAAAGAAGAAACGGCTTCCTTAGGATTAAAATGGAATAAATGGAAACAAAGTTTTGAAATCTTTATAAGTGCTAAGGGAATTACAGATGACACCCGAAAGAAAAACTTACTATTGCATTGTGCGGGACCCGAGGTACAAGACATTTATTTTACGTTACCGGAAGCTGACCAGGATGCCACTGCCCAGAATTACAATTCTACAATGAAGGCGTTAGACACATATTTTGCTCCCAAAATAAATGCTGTCTACGAACGTTACATCTTTCGAACAATTAAACAAACGGCAGGCGAGACCATTGAACAGTTTATTACGAGGTTAACGGAACAAGGAAAAAGTTGCAGTTACAAGGATCTTGACGACCAAATTCGCGACCAAGTAATTGAGAAATGTCAATCTTCAGTTCTACGGCGGAAGTTCCTGGAAGAGGGTGAGATTACATTGAAGAAGGTGCGAGAGATGGCGAAGGCATTCGAGGCTACAGAGGTACAGGTGTCGGCTATGGAACGGGTTCAAACGGAAGTGAACAAGGTATCATACAAGCGACAAACTAAGGTAAACATACCGATTCAAAAAAATGTAAGTGGTGGAAATTCTAAAGACTCGAAACAAGGGTATAAAAATGTACATTGCTTTCGTTGTGGTAATGAAAATCATCTAGCGAATAGCTGTAAATTTGTAAATGTTCTTTGTAATTTTTGTAAAACTAAAGGTCATATAGCTAAAGTTTGTTTCAAAAAGAAAAAGAATTCATGCAATGAAATTTCAGAGTCGCCTGAAAATGAGGATGAAATCGAGGGTGCTTTGGACGAATTACAGATCTACGAAGTTTCTACAAAAGACAACTCAGAGTTTCGCAGGAAGTTTCTTTGTACAATTGCGGTCGAGGGGAAACGAATACAATTTGAACTTGACAGTGGCGCAGCAGTATCAATAATGAGTAAGCTAGATTTTGATAGATACTTCCCAAAACTTGAATTATTCTCTAGTACAATTAAATTACTTACATATGCTGGCAACCCATTACAAATATTGGGGTATGCTAACGTTACCGTTACATATAAATACAAACCCATAATTTTGCAACTGTACATAGTAAATGAACATAATAATCCGCTATTTGGAAGGGAGTGGATACGAAAATTAAACTTGAACTTAAATGAGATACTTGATATTAATAGTTTAGGGTTACAAGCAAAATCAAGTGGGAATACGAAAGTACAAATCCTTATTAATCAATACAAACCATTATTTCAGAATACAATTGGTAAAATAAGACATTTCCAAGCTCGTTTAAGATTGAAACCTGGTGCAACTCCGATTTTTGCAAAGAGCAGATCTGTTCCATTTGCATTGTACGAAAGGGTAAATGATGAGCTCAATTCCCTTATACAACAAAATATTCTTGAGCCAGTCAATTCAAGCGAATGGGCCAGTGCAATAGTTCCAATTGTAAAATCAAATGGTACGATACGCATATGCGGGGATTACAAACCCACATTAAATCCAAATTTAGTTGTCGATGATTACCCATTTCCCACCATTGATGAATTATTTTCAAATATGGCGGGAGGACAATCATTTTCAAAGCTGGATATTACACAGGCTTACTTGCATTTAGAAATACATCCCGATGACAGAGACTTGTTAACAATGAATACAATTAAGGGACTACTGAGACCAACAAGGTTAATGTATGGTGTAGCTTCTGCTCCTGCCATTTGGCAGAAAACAATCGAAATCATTTTACAAGGTATACAGGGTGTGACAGTATTTTTTGATGATGTGTGTATTACAGCACCAAATGAGATATTACACATGGAACGATTAAAACAAGTATTAGATCGATTCTACAAATACAATGTACGTGTTAATTTTGATAAATGCTCTTTTTTCGCTAACAAAGTAGAGTATTGCGGTTATACAATTTCGAAGGATGGCATAGAAAAGTCAAAGAAAAAAGTGGAAACAATTCAAAACATTCCACAACCACAAAATAAAGATGAATTGAGAGTATTTTTAGGTCTCATTAATTATTACGGTCGCTTTATTAATAACCTAAGTACAGTTGTACATTCCTTAAATAAGTTATTACGACAGGACGAACTTTGGAATTGGGATAACAATTGCGAAAAAGCTTTTAAAACAGTGAAGCGGGAAATGATGACAGATAGAGTGCTAACTCATTATGATCCTAAATTGCCGTTAGTACTGGCTACAGATAGCAGTTCTGTAGGCGTTGGTGCAGTACTATCTCACATTTTACTGGATGGAACTGAAAAACCCATTCAATTTGCTTCACAAACGTTATCAGACACACAAAAGCGTTACTCTCAAGTTGACAGAGAAGCTTATTCAATTATATTTGGGGTAAAGAAAT